CACCAAAAGTACAAGCGATTCAAGAAAAAATAGGGAACCTGGTCTTCATGGGAACTAAAAACTGACTGTACTTTAAAAGAGATTATCAAGGAACCAGCAGTTAGTGTAATGGCTATGTCGCTGGACTCCCACGTAGTCAACCGCGGTTTGAGTCCTGGACCCGGCGGCTTAAGCTCACGCTGGGCGCGTGTGCATGCATGCCCAAGATCCTGCGAGGAGAATGGAGGAGAAGGGATTGTGGCATGGCCAACCCCTCTGGGGGGTGATTTCTCGCTTTCTATCTCTCTCTGTCTGTCTGGCAAGCGCACACACCCTATAGCAAAAACCTCTCCCCCCCCAAAAAAAGAGATTATCAAAGGGACCAGCAGATGGTATAATGGCCTCGTTGCTGGACTCCCACGTGGTTGACCATGGTTCAAGTCCTGGACCCAGTAACTTGAAATTTACGCCGGGCACGTATGCATGCATGCCCAGGATCCTGAGAGGAGAATGGAGGAGAAGGAATTGTTGCGTGGCCATCCCTCTGGGACTAGTTTCTCTCTTTCTGTCTCTCTGTCTCTCTCTCTCTCTGTCTCTCCCGTGAGTGCATGCGCCCTATAGCAAAAATCTGTTTAAAAAAAAAATGATACTATCAAAAAAGTGAAAAGACATGAAATGAACCACCGTTTATCCATTGAAAGGAATGACATTTTGCTACTTGACGCAACAAGAAGAAGCCTGCAAGATGTTATGCTTAGTGAATAATCCAGGCACAGAAAGTGGAATACCTGGCCAGGTCAGCAGCCTGGTGGTTGAAGAAGCTGAATCCCACACAGCCAATCATGCAGCTTGATTCCTGACCTAGTGCCTGAGAAACATGCCAGGTGCGTGCACAAGCGTGTGTGCGTGTGTGTGTGTATATGTGTGTGTGTCTGCCCAGAATCCCAAAAAGGGGGAAACGGAGAAGGGGTTGGGAGTGATCATTCCTCACTGGGGGTGCTTTCTCCTGTCCCTCTCCTTCTCTATCTGTCTTTCTCTGGAGAGTGTGTGTGCCCTCTAGCACACACACACACACACACACACACACACACACACTTTTTGAAAAAGTGGAATACCACATATTTTTATGCATACTCAAAAGTAAAAAGAGAAGCTGGCACAGAAGTGGAGAGTTGAATGCTGGTTATCAGAGGCTACGAGGGTAGGGGAGAGGAAGGCAGAGACGGATGTCAGTAAACAGACACGTTGACAGTGAGGTAAGTGGACACGTGGCGTTCCATTGTTACCCACTGCAGTGGAGTAACTGCAATGAACGATAACTTAGCATATGTTTCAGGTTAGCTAAAAGAAAGGATTCTGAATGTTTCCAACACAAAGCAATGACAAATGCATGACATGATAAATACACTAATTACCCTGTGATCATTACACAGCACCGTCCTGTACTGAAAAAACAACACTGTACCCCACAAACAGGTAAGACTACTATGTGCTAATTTAAAATAAATTAATTTTATGGGACCAGCAGATAGTGTAGTAGTTACTTCGCTGGACTCCCATATGGCCGACCGTGGTTCAAATCCTGGACCCGGTGACTTGAAAATCATGCTGGACATGTGTGCATGGGTTCCCAATGTCCCAGGAGGAGAATGCAGAAGGAATGGTGGTATGGCCATCCCCCCTGGGGGGGTAATTTTTCACTTTCTCTCTCACTGTCTCTCTCTGTGGCAAGCAGAAACGTGCTAAGGCAAATCTCTTAGGGCAAATAAAAGAGAAAGTGGAGCCCTTACGCATTGCGGGTGGGAATGGAAAACAGAGCTCTGGGACACTGCAGTTCCTCAGAGGTTAAGCATGGAGTTGCGTATGACTCTGTAAGTCTCAGAGGCATATATCCGAGAACTGAAAAGCTTGCACATCAACGTCTGTAGCAGCATTATTCATAATAGCCATAAAATAGAAACTACCCAAATAACCATCAGCTGACATATTGGTAAATAAAAAGTATGATCATATAATGGAATATTATTCAGTTAAAAAAAAAAAGGAAGAAAAAGAAAAAGAAAGAAAGGAAAAAAGTGCAATACATGCTACACTGTGGATGAAACTTGAAAACATTTTACTAAGTGAGAGGGACCAGTCATGGACCAACCACATGGCATGGTGCTTAGGACAGCTGGGTCCCCCATGGCCGACCGCACAGTTCAAGTCCCAAATCCAGCATCTTGAACGGCACGGTGGGCCCTTGAGTGAGCATGCCAAAAATCCTGACAGGAAAATGGAACAGAAGGGATTATGGCTTGGACAACCCCCCGGGAGGGTGATTTCTCTCTTTCCTCTCTCTGTGTCTCTCTGGCAAGCACATGTGCCCTGTGCCCCATAGCAAAGGAAAAAAAAAAGTCTCAGTGTCCCTTGTATCATGTGATTTCATTGATATGAAATGTTTAGAATAGGCTAATCTATAGAGACAGAAAGTAGAATAGTTGTTGTCTAGGGCTGGGAGAAATAGGGAGTGACTACTGGTGGGGTTGGTGTTCTTGGTGTTCTTTCTGAGGTAATGGAAATGCCCTGAAGTTACGGCCAGCAGGTGGTGTGGTGGTTAAGGATGCTGGATTCCCACATGGCTCACCATGGTTCAAGTCCTGGACCTGGCCAGCCTGCTTTCTCACTTTCTCTGTCCCTGTCTGGTCAAAATAAAATAAATAAAAGTTTATAAAATAATTTTAAAAAATAATAAAATGTCCTAAAGTTGATTGTGATGGTGAGCATACAACTTGGTGAATATACTACTGAATTTTAAAACTAAATTTAAAAATTAACCAATACTTTAAATTGGTTAATTTTATGGTATATGAATTATATCTCAATAAAGCTGTTATTAAAAAAAAAAAAAAAACAAAGACCCTGAAGAGTTTCTGTTTATTTTGGTTTATATATGTTAACATATACCATATTAGAGGGACCAGCAGTTGGTGTAAAGGCTATATGGCTGGACTCCCACGTAGTCAACTGTGGGTCGAGTTCTCTAGTGGCTTAAATTCACGTGGGCGTGTGTGTGTACGTGCTCAAGATCCTGACAGGAGAATGGAGGAGAAGGGATTGCAGCATGGCCATCCCCCCGGGGGGTGATTTCTCGCTTTCTGTCTCTCTTTCTCTCTGGCGAGCACACACTCCTTATAGCAGAAAACTTCTCCAAAAAAAAATTAATACAATCTTTATCAAGAACACCTTAAGTGAAACCGAATTTCTTTCTGAGTGCAGAATTCACTCTGTGAGTGGGGGCCAACAGGTGGCATGGTAGTTAAGGGCACTGGACTCACACATGGCCGACTGCGGTTTGAGTCCCAAACTGGGTGGTTTTCTTTCTCACTTTCTCTTTCTCTCTCTCCCCCTCCCTCCCTCAATCTGTCACACTCTGGTCAAATTAAAATAAATAAATAAAGTTAAATAAAATAATTTTTTTTAAAAAAATTCACTCAGTGGGCAATACAGCGCCCTCTGATACAGTTTGGTGCTACCACGTTGATTCCTATAGCGGTAGAAAGAATCGACCCACCACCACTGGTGCAATCAGGACAAACGTCAGTGTGATAGTAAGCACAGGCAAATAAAACCTTACTGTTATTGTGAGGATTACTCTGGCCTCACAGATTCGAAACTTTCTGGGGCTGTCCTTAAGAGTCTATGGACCATATGTTGAAAATCTCTATGTTAACCGCTCCCACAGTCACGCGCCTAGTAAGTAGTTGGACCACTACTAGAAACTAGGTCATATTGACGGGTTTCTCCACCGCACCGTGATATGCACAGTGAGGGACGCGGACATGGTAACAGCGTCCTGATCCCTCTTTCTGGCTTTTTTTTTTTTTTCCCACTCTATTACACTATTCTAGTTTGTTTTTATAAATCTCTGGTACTTCTTTGCCTGCTTTGCTAACTCTGTGTCTTCTTTCCACCTATGTAATGTTGGTACTTACCAATATTCTTTTAAGAATTATTTTATTTAACTTTTATTTATTTACTTATTTTAATTTGGACAGAGAGGGACAAAGTGAGAAAGAGAGAGAGGGAATGTGAGAAGCAAGATGCCAGGTCTGGAATTGAACTGCAGTTGACCATGTGGGAGTCCAGCGCTCTTAACCCCCGCCACCTGCTGCACCCGCCAATATTCTGTTATTGAATCTTTATAAACTAGTTTCTTCTATGTCATCAATTTTCTCCTAGCTTCAATCTAAACTTTTTGAGAGGATTTTTTTTTTTTTTTTTTTTTTTTTAAGGGGGGGTAACTTTCCAGA